CCTTATAAAAAAAATATTGTACTTAGATTATTTCATCCTTCATTAGTGTTAAAAGTAGAATGGAAACCAAACAAAGCATGATCGTAAGTGCAATTAAGAACAACGCACATAGCTAGATTAGATAGAAACCCAATTCCAAATCAATATTAGCTCTCTGTGGAAATCAATCTCGACTCCACGGGTAAAAGCTGCATCGACCACTCTTGCCATTTTATAATGGTATAGAGTTGAAACCGATCAAGAACCAATGCTTGAAATCCCTCTCCCATGGAGATATTCAGATTAAAGGAAAACAATAAATGCATGCTAGGTTTTATTGTGCTGAAGGTAAAGAATAAGAGCGAATACTCTGTTTGAACCTTCTAGTGAATACTTTGTTTTAGTGAATACTCTTGTATAGGTCCAAATTTGGTAGCCATGATAACGGATAAGCGAAACATAGGACGGGGTTGACCACGACGCAAAGACTGACGGCCGCCCAAATGAAGGCGGACGACTAGACGCGGAAAGCTGATATAGGATAGTAACGGTAGCTTAACTTAAAAATGGACAGGAAGAATATTCCTTTGGATATTCTTTATGTTGTACTTCTTAGGGTTTTTGGGGAATGTCCATTATAAATAGGAGGAGATGGGGAACAAAGAGGGATCTGCCCTTTTTGAGAATTGAGACATATTGTAAAACTGAGAAAAGAATATACGAAAGAGTTTTCTTATTCTCTTTATTCAAGCACATGTTATTCAATCTTTATCCACAAATTTCAAGATCCCATAACTGAGATTGATTACTTACTTTTCCACGTCGTCAGAGAAAGGAAACACCCAATCACACAATCATTGGGTGACGATTCCTTTATACTACAACCTTTATCATTCTCGCATTTACTACACATTTATGATATTACATGTCTTACCAATCATAGCATATTAAATTCGCTATTTAATGTTCTCAACCCTAACTCATCATACAAGAACTCTGTTTTGTTTGATCTAGAATTTCTTAAGTTCTACTGAGATTCACCCTATTAATTTATCCTTGATTGAATTAGTAATTATTTGCTAAAACAACTCTGTTTTAGTGAACAAAAAAAAAAAGAAGACATAGCATCATTAAGATGAGTAAATGGTGCAATGAGAAGTGGTCTGCCTATCCTAACTGCGATAACATTTAAATAAAGACTAAAAATCTGAACTTGACCATCAATTGATGCCTCGTCTAGTAGCTGCACAACAACCTGAAGAAGCAGTTATAACACCAAATATAAATATCTATAAAGTGATGTTGGTGAAAAAACGATTATAAAAATATGAAAATATCATACCAACCTCAATATTATTAGCTACAACCTTTTTATATATTGTACAAGACTTCAACAAGCTCATAGAGGTTTATATAATAGAATAATTATCGCGGCTCTTCATAACAATGCTAGTGCACTGAAATAGCTCATCCTTTCCTTCACACAAAAGAGAATACAAAAGAAAAAAAATATTAGGTCAAAAAGTTCAAAAATATTAAAAGAGAAAAATTGAAGCTTATGTAGTAAAAGGACCGAACATGAAAGATACCAATGTATGATTCTAGAGAGAAAGTGGATGGAAAAGATTTCAGAGTTACCTTTTTATAGGATTAAATATATAAATGTTGATTTTGATTATGCTCAACAAAAAACTTGTCTCGTCCCACACTGTAATTCCCTATCTCTACAATATGGATTTACATAACTGTAGTACTTCAGAGTTATATGATATTAGAGTTTTATATAGTAAAAAGATTTTTGTCGAAGTCAGCTAGTGATAATGTTGTGTCTTACTACTATTTCGTTTTTCACAGCGCCGGGTCTGTGTACTGTCTATCGTTTTTCCTTTGCATCTACTATCTCATTTTCATGATGTTATATTTCCTATGTTTCTATTGGAGGTACTGATATTGTCTCTTTTCGTCTTCTTGAACCGAGGGTCTTTCGGAAACAGCCTCTCTCTACTTCTTCGGTGTAGGGGTAAGGTCTGCGTACACACTCCCTAGACCCCACTAGTGAAATTTTACTGGGTAATCGTTGTTGTTATTGTTGTATAGTAAAAAAGACTACAAGGAAACTTGCAAAGTTGAGCGCGCTTATGATGCCTTGTTTGGTGATAATAATTTTACAAGTATCAAAATCTATTTTTATCTATAAAATAAGGATTACACCCAAATATTTCTATCTCAATAATAGAAAAGGCAAAACACAGGAATACAACCTGTAAAAAGTAACCTAATGGACTAGGATAGGAAGAGATAGACTCAAATATTTTTATAAAGTATATGTACAGATAAAACTTGTATTCTTATAGAATTAGAAGACTTGTTTTCAAGAGCTCTTTGAGTATATATTTTATCGTACCTCACATTTAAAATTAAGAAATAGAAGAGGTTCTTTTACATGGTATCAGAGTTAGGTTCGAATAATATAAAAATTTTGATTGGGCGATTGACGTCGATGATCGTAGGTCCACTACTAAATTTGCTATTTTATTCGTGGCTCACACTAGATTTCTTGGGCCTCTCCAAAGCAAAGAGTTGTCTCACGGTCAAGCACTGAGATAGAATATCGATCACTAGCTGCTGCAACGTCTGAAATCACATGGGTTGAGCATTTTCGAGAGAGATCGATTGCCTCTCTTCTACCATTCGTACTCTTTGGTGTAATAATATTAGTGTGATACATACAAGCTTGTAAAAATCATCTTTTTTGTATTGTTTTTTATTTTTTGCTAATTTGTACTTTTTTGTGGTGAATTATGATAATTCTTGTTTTCCTTTTGCCCATTTTCTTTATCCTAATAACTTGTATTTACATCATTCTTTTCCCTCTAATAGCTCAGATTTCTCATTATTGTGATAACTTGTATTTACATCATTCTTTTCCCTTTAATTGTTTATATTTCTCAATTCTCATGGATTTGAGGTCCTTATTACTAACCCTTCGTCAAACCCAATAATAATACTCCTTATTGCAAATTTTTCTTATTTTATCTTTTTTTCAATCTCTACATAATGTACCCTCTTTGCAGAGCTCAGTAATGTTTGCAGTTTTGTGTGAATGAGAGAGTAAGAGAATTTTGAACTTTGAAAAAGAAAACAAGAAATAAATAAGGTATATTGGTGTTGTTTTGAAACAAAGAGAAGAAAATAGGGAAGAGAAGAAGACCAAGAAAAGATGAAGCTCAAGAAGTTACAAATCCCGATCAACAATATTCTCAACAATAAGAAACAATGGCTCATCCTATTCGGAGTTATATGACACTAGAGTTTTATATAATAAAAAAGATTACAAGGAAACTTACAAAGTTGAGCGCGCTTATGATGCCTTATTTGGTGATAATAATTTTACAATTATCAAAATTCTTTTTTATCTATAAAATAAGGATTACACTCAAATATTTTTATCTCAATAACAGAAAAGGCAAAACACAGGAATACAACCTGTAAAAGGTAACCTTCGTGGATTAGGAAAGAAGGAGATAAACTCAAATATTGTTATAAAGTCCATGTACAGACAAAATTTGTATTCTTATAGAATTAGAAGACCTGTTTTTCAAGAGCTCTTTGAGTATATATTTTATCGTGCCTCACATTTGAAATTAAGAAATAGAATAGGTTTTTTACATGGTATCAGAGGTAGGTTCGAATAATATAGTAATTTTGATTGGGCGGTTCACGTTGATGATCGTAGGTCCACTACTAGATTTGCTATTTTATTCGTGGCTCACACTAGATTTCTTGGGCCTCTCCGAAGCAAAGAGCTATCCTCAAGCACTGAGACAGAATATAGATCACTAGCTGCTGCAACGTCTGAAATCACATGGGTTGAGCTTCGAGAGAGAGATTAGTTGCTTCTGTTCTCCCGTTCCTACTCTGGTGTAATAATCTTACTGCGACTTATTTAACAACAGAGCCACTAGATTTTCTTGGGCCTCTCCGAAGCAAAGAGCTATCTCACAATCAAACACTGAGATAGAATATCGATCACTAGCTGCTGCAACGTGTGAAATCACATGGCTTGAGCTTCGAGAGAGAGATTAGTTGCTTCTCTTCTCCCGTTCCTACTCTGGTGTAATAATTTTACTGCGAATTATTTAACAACAGAGCCACTAGATTTTCTGGGCCTTTCCGAAGCAAAGAGCTATCTCACAGTCAAGCACTAGGACAGAATATCGATCACTAGCTGCTGCAGCGTCTGAAATCACATGGGTTGAGCTTCGAGAGGGAGATTAGTTGCTTCTCTTCTCCCGTTCCTACTCTGGTGTAATAATCTTACTGCGACTTATTTAACAACAAGTCTCATTTTTCATTCACGGACTAAACATATGGGATTGATTTACATTTTATTCGAGACAAAATGCGTAATAACACCTTATCTCTCAAGTATGTAAGCTTTCGTGATCAAGTCGCCAATGCGCTCACTGAATCTTTGTCGAAAGTCTAGTTTCTCTGGTTGAAGAGCAAGTTGATAGTGATCTTTATTATATTAGTTAGTGTTTTGATGGGAGTATTTGAAAAGAGGTGACTTTTGTTTTAAAAGGTGCCTATTGGCAAAGGTTAAGTCTATTAGTCCTAACAGACACCTAAAGGGTTTGAAAGGAGGTGACTTTTGGTATTAAAAGGTGCCTATTAGCAAAGGTTGAGTCTGTTAGTCCTAATAGACACCTAAAGGGTTTATAAATACCCTTTTCTTCTCCAAAACAAAAATTATCAGAAAAGCAACAAAGTATCTTCTTCTTTTCTGCTATCTTCAATTCACCAAATTTGTTCAAGTGGAAATTCGAGTTAATTGCTGGTGCTCGAATTTCAGAGGCTTTGTAAAATCCTGGAGGAATTCTGCCATAATCCCTGCAACAACGAAATTGGGAGGCTTAAATTCCTTAAGGACAGTGACTACACTATCAAAGCCTAATTATTTCGTCCCTATATATTCTGTAATATTTTCTAACAATCTTAAGGAATTTAAAAACACTGCAATGGAGGCTTCTGGTAGTGATTCTGGTTTCAATAAGATGTTCGAAGTGTTCAAACTGTATCGATTTGATGGCTCAAATTTTACCCACTGGAAAGACAAATTGTTGTTCTTTCTCACGGAGTTGGGAATAGCATATCTACTGAGTTCTGATCTTACTGAAATGCCAGAACCTACTGCTGAAGACTCTGACGAAATTAAGGCGGCACGCAAAAAACGTGAAGATGATGAGGTGCGCTGTAGAGGTTTTATTTTAAACTCACTTTCTGATCGTTTATATGATTTGTTCCATCCTCACAAATCACCACAAGAAATCTGGAAAGCCTTGGAACAGAAGTATACTGCTGTGAAGCAAGGAACGGACGGATTCCTTGGAATAAAATTTTTTGAATTTCAAATGATAGATGGGAAATCTGTCATGGAACAGGTTGATGAGTTGTTGGTTTTGATATCTAGACTCAAAGATTTTAAAGTCGATGTTTCTGAATCTCTTCAAGTGGCTGCTATACTTGCAAAATTACCAGCCACTTGGAATGACTATAGGAAGAAATTATTACATTCTTCCGAAAACTTTATTGTGGACCAGTTGACAAAGCATATTCGGATTGAAGAAGAGTCACTATGACGACCCGATCCGTCGTCTCATGAGTTACTACCCTGTTCTTCCCATCTTCTGCTTTCTTATGTTTCATTATCGGTATTGGGTGCGTTAGAATTGATTTGGAATGATTTTGATAAGAAATGAGACACTTAGTCTCTTTTAAGAAGGCTTAAGTTGGAAAAGTCAACCGGATGTTGACTTGTGAGTTAGAAGGCTCGGAATTGAATTCCGATGATTCGGTTAGCTCCGGGTGATGATTTAAGGCTTAAGAGCGCAATTGGGAGTAATTTTGGAGGTCCGGTGAAGAAGTTAGCCTATTTTGGCGAAGGTAGTATTTTGGCGATTTCCGGTTGATAGGTGAAATTTTGATCCGGGAGTCGGAATGGAATTCCGAGAGTTGCTGTAGCTTCGTTATGTCATTTTGGACTTGTGTGCAAAATTTGAAGTCAATCGGACGTGATTTGATAGGTTTCGGCATCGGAAATAGAAGTTGGAAGTTCAAAAGTTCATAAAGCTTGGATTGGAGGTTGATTCATGATTTTAGCGTTGTTTGATGTGATTTGAGGCCTCAAGCAAGTCCGTAATATATTATGGGACTTGTTAGTATACTTTGTTGGGATCCCATGAGGCTCGGATAAATTTTGGAAGAGTTTTTGAAAGATTTTTGCCGTTTTGAGCATAAATGTAATGATCTAAAGGTTCATTTTTAGTTCTAGAGATCCAAATTTGATTCCGAGACTTCCGGAATTTTGATAATGAATTATAGGACTGATCTGGAAATTTTGGTCTAATTTCATCAAGTCGCGATTGGGTTTTTGACGCGAAACATGAGTAATTGTTTAACGAGCGAAATCGATATCGCACTGGGCAAATGAGCTCCGAATTGAGTTTCGATTGAAGGGTTGTGTTCGTATTATTATTTGTGACTCATAGGAACAAGAATCGTCTAATTCCGAGTTCGTACGAAGGAGTTAGAGCCTTTTTAGTGAAATTAAAGAGTGCTGGTGCATCAGGTCTGGTGTGGCACTTTTAGCGACCAGATTAGCACCTTTAGCGACCAGATTTGGGTCTTTAGCGACCAGATTTGCTTATTCAAAGCTGCTGCATTTCTGCTCGTTTTTTTTACCTATTTTCTTGCGAAATAACACGGCTTGGGGCGATTTTGAGCAAGAAATCATGGGAAATCTTGAGTTAAGTCACTTGTGATTATTTCTACTCCATAATATTGAATTATCATCGAATAATCCGACTAGATTACATGTGTTTTGAGGTATAAATTGGGGATTTTGGACCTAGGGATTTGAAAATAAGATTTGAAGATTTGAGAGGTCATTTGAGTTCCGATTTTGGTAAAATTTATATGTACGGACTCGTGGCGAGACGAGGAATCCGTTGGTGTGATTTTCGGAATTTTTCGAGAAGTGGGCCCGGGGCTCGGGTTTTACCAACTTCGTGAATTTTAGTACTTTTCGAGTATTTTTGATTGGGTTATGTTTCTTTAACCCGTATTTATGTATTCGTTGTGATTTTGACTAGATTCGACGCGCGAGGAGGTCGATACAAAGGAAAAGGCATTGCGGACCAGTCTACGGCCGGTTAGAGGTGAGTAGTTTGTATAGATGATGGCCTGAGGGTTTGAAACCCCGGTTTATCACATTGTGACGCTATATTAGGGCGTGACTCGCACCCCATGGCAGGTGCAGGATTGTCTATGACTGGGGATTTTGACTTGGTCCATCCCGAACATGAATGTTTCTATATTGGCGACTGATACGCACCCTGTATTGAATATATCTGGGCTTATTGCCGTGTTTGGGGCCTTGTGCCGATCTGTAGCATCCTTAGAGGATGAATGTCATTGTGATAGCATGCTTTGTATAATCATTGATCTCAGTCCTGTGTTTAATCACTGTTATGAAATGCTAAGTCACTTTTCCTGAAGTTAAATATCTAAAGTATATTCTCCTTAATAAATTGAAAATTGGGAAATTAATTGAATCTGTTACGTGACTCATATGCATATTGTGGACTGAGTATGGATCGGGCTGCACGCCGCAGCGAATGGTATGATTATATTGCGCTTGGGCTGAAGGAGCCCCTCTGGAGTCTGTACACACCTCCAGTGAGCGCCGTCGACGTTAAATGGATCGGGCTACGCGCCGTAGCGGTCATGTGCATTGCATTGCATCTTTACATTATACTTGACTGATATATTTGAAGTTGTTTTGCTGTTAGTTCGTAGTTAGGTGTTGGACTGTTAGTTTTAGCTTTGATTTGTGGCATTTCGTGGATTTCTTATCTTCAGACATTTTATATGCTTATTATTCACTGAGTCGGTAGTACTCACCCCTACTCCCTGCACCTTGTGTGCAGATTCAGGTACTTCGGGAGCTTAGTTGAGCTAGCCGCTGGTTTCCAGAGTTCCAGGAGTGGTCGAGGTAGCTGCTATGACGTCCGCAGGACCCGACTCCTCCCTTATCCCTTTATTATTTCCGTACTTTAGAACATACTTATTTTGAGGATTCTTGACTCTGTATTAGTTAGAGGCTCTAGACTCATGACCTCAGGTCTTTGGGAGTTACAGTTATGTCAGTATTTCGTATTGTTTTAATTGAGTATTTCAACTATGAGTATTAATATTTGATTTTAAGTATCTGATTAATTGGTTTTGGGCTTTGTGCTCGGGTTGAGAGAGTAAATGGTCGGGCTTGCCTAGCATTAGTGTTGGGGTCGTGACAGTCACGAAAACGTGAAAATAAATATGCTGCGGAAACTAGTTCAAAGGTGAATTATGTTGAGTCTAGTAAGGCAAACAACTCAGGAAAATCTGGAAACAAGGTTGGAAAGAAGAGAAAGTTTGAGGCTGCTCCAAAGGAAAATTCTTCTAACATTAAGAAAGGTCCATGTTATACTTGCGGAAAAATATGTCATTTTAAGAGAGATTGCAGGTTTCGTAAGAGACAGAAAAATGAAGAAAATGCTGGACAGAAGAGGGCAAATAATGTTGAACAACAACAAGCTTCTTCTTCGGATATTGTTGCTATGATTTCTGCTTTTACCAACTTGAATCTGAGTATGGTAGCTGAATGCAACATGGCAGCAACTATGAAATCTGCAGATTGGTGGTATGATTTCGGTGCTACAGTTCATGTATGCAATGACAAGAGTTTCTTCAAACATTATGAAGTTGCAACAAGTGATGAAAAGGTTTTAATGGGAAATCATGACACCGCCAAGGTTTTTGGAAAAGGAACAGTTGAACTACAATTCACTTCGGGAAAGAAGTTGATTTTAATTAATGTTCATCATGTGCCTGATGTTAGGAAGAATTTAATTTCTGCAAGTTTATTAAGTAAGAAAGGCCTCAAAACTGTTATAGAGGCAGAAAAGATTATTTTCTCTAAGAATGGTGTATTTGTAGGACAAGGCTACTCTTGTGAGGGCATGTTCAAATTAAGTATTAATAAAGTTGAAGTTTCTGCTTATATGATTGAGTCATCTATTAATTTATGGCATGCTAGACTTTCACATGTTAATTTTCGATAAGTTAAGTTTATGTCTAAAAATAAATTAATTCCTGCTGTTGAGAATAATGAAAAAAATGTGAAATTTGCATACAAGCTAAGATGACTAAGAAATCTTTTCCAAAGAATGAAAGAACAAGTAATCTAGTTGAACTTGTGTATTCCGATATATGTGAATTGAATGGTCATTTAACTAGAGATGAAGTATTAAATAAAATACCCATTATTTTAAATTTAGAAGAGGATCCTAAAACCTATAGTGAGGCTATGGCTTCGCGGGATTCTTCTTTCTGGAAATAAGCTGTAAATGATGAAATGGATTCTCCTTTATCAAATGGTACATGGGTATTGGCAGATTTACCTTCTAATACTAAATCTATTGGGTGTAAATGGGTTTTTAGAAGAAAATACAATACTGATGGTTCTCTACAAACATTTAAAGCTAGACTAGTAGCCAAGGGATTTAGACAAAAGGCAGGAGTAGATTATTTTAATACATATGCTCCTGTGGCCAGGATTACCTCAATAAGAGTATTATTTGCTTTGGCATCAATATATAATCTAAATGTCCATCAAATGGATGTTAAGACGGCATTCTTAAATGGTGATCTTGATGAAGAAGTTTATATGGAGCAACCCGAAGGGTTTGTGCTTCCTGGAAATGAGAAGAAAGTTTGTAAATTAGTTAAGTCCTTGTATGGATTAAAACAAGGTCCAAAACAATGGTATAAAAAATTTGATAGTGTTATATTATCAAATGGTTTTAAACATAACGGAGCAGATAAATGCATTTATTCCAAATTCACAAAGGACTATGGAGTGATAGTATGTCTTTATGTTGATGACATGCTAATCATATGAACTAACATGCAAGGCATAAATGAAACTAAGAAGTATTTAACTTCTCAATTTAAAATGAAAGATTTGGGAAGTTGATACTATCTTTGGTGTTAAAGTTAAAAGACATAGTGGGGGTTTTGCCTTATGTCAGTCTCATTATATTGACAAGGTTCTTTCCAAATTTAATCATTTGGGTATTAAAGAATTTAATACTCCGTTTGATGCTTCTAGCAAGATGGTTGAGAACCCCGGAACATCTGTTAGTCAATTAGACTATGCTAGTGCAATTGGTAGTTTAATGTATGCTATGCATTGTACTAGGCCAGATATTGCCTTTGCGGTTTGTAAATTGTCAAGGTATACTCACAATCCAAGTGGTGATCACTGGAAAGGTATAGTCAGGGTACTTGGTTATCTGAAAAAGACAAAAACTTTTGCCTTATATTATAACAGATTTCCTTCAGTGTTAGAAGAATATTGTGATGCTAGTTGGATAACTAGTGTTGGTGATAACAAGTCAACGTCTGGGTGGATATTCACTTTAGGTAGAGGAGCAATTTCGTGGCTTCTAAGAAACAGACGTGTATTACTCATTCCACAATGGAATCTGAGTTTATTGCTTTAGCAGCTGCAGGAAGAGAAGCAGAATGGCTGAGAAAT